ATGATGATGATGATGATGATGATGATGATGATGATGATGATGATGATAATAATAATAATAATAATAATAATAATAATAATAATAATAATAATAATAATAATAATAATAATAGAGGGAACAGCCCTATACTTGTGAATTGTGATCCAGCACTATTGTAATATACATGATCGTATGACTACTGCTTAATAAAGTCGTTAGTCTGTAACTGTATCGAACGCATATTTCTCGGGTTGCTTGAACTGCTTTAGCAGAAAAAGTAAAGGAAAAAATGTCAATATGAAAACTACTTCGAGTGAGCATCAAAACCAAATATTGAAATAATCCCTGCCTACCCAATGCCCTTGATTAATCACTATCTAGGCACAAGGCAACACTTGATTGTCCTAACGCTTTTCACTTAAGGCCATGCCTTACTTATCAGTCCTCAATATAGTATCATCCTTCAACACAAGAGGTAGCTAACCTTATAAATTGTTAGATATCAATAGAAAGAGTGGCATGTACTTCAAGTGGGAAGACCAGTGGATCAGAATAGACACCAAGAAGAAATGGGAAGTTCCAAAATGAGCTTGTTACAAGGAAAATTTATTTGCATGCTTTAATCTGTGAGACACTCGATCATTCTATCGACTGAAGTCCAGTTTCAAAATCCACAAGCTATCTCGAAGAGGATATTTTCCTTTTCCTCCACCTTTCTAGTACAATAATAAATAAGAGTGTTGATTAATTCAGTAAATAGTGACATAGAAACGAATGAATATGCCATGGCCAGAGACGGCAGATCGGCCCAAGTAGCCGAGGCAACCGCCTGGTGGCGCATCAAGATGCCTCCCAACTTGCCTCAAGTCATCCTCACAACCTCAAACACATATTACATCAACCTCAAACAAATATCACAGTGCCTGGAAGGTGTTTCGGGATTTAAAATATTTCTCCCCAACCACAAATGCACATCTAAGCACACAGGACAAAAATAAGGGTTTAAGATTCAGGGCAAAACCTAAATTAATCAACAAATCTGGTCACCCATTGCAAATTAGAAGAAAGCAATCTACCCTTATTGTTTTTCTCATTTTATTGTTTCTCTTAAGTCTTAACTGAGGCTCGTGATCACTAGGAAGCACCATGGCTCGCCATCGGCCATTCTGCTTTATGAAACATGAAAATTAAAAAGTAGACACAAGACTGTCCTCGTAAGATACTCTCCCGCCCAAGCTAAAAGCCGATAGTAATATTAAAATGCAGTAGGCAGAGGTAAATTACGCTGCATAAATATCATATTACCTTATGACTCATAAAGCTCAGGTTTACATCAATAATACATGAAATTTTATCTAGCAAAACTAATAGTAAGTTGAAAAAATAATTGAAATGCAGAAAGTGGCAAGTGGCAGCAACAAGTATGATCTCTGACAATACTAAGAATAGATATAACTCAAACAATTTCACAGATAGAGAAACCAACATGGAATTTGAAGTGTCGCATAGCCAATACAAAGGACCACATACTCTGTTTTCCTAAAGCAACTTGAATCAAGTATTTCAGAAAGATCAGGCTGAACATGCACACGCCACATTAAACTTAGTGACAAACACGTTTTCCCCTAAATAATATTACCTGCCCCTTGAAGATTCAATTATGTAGTTCGGATTATCCAAAAAATCATAGATAATCTGAGCCTTCTTTTCACAATCCACCACAATGGCTCCTCTTGCAAATGGGTCTAATGACTGTCTTGGGAAAACAAATGCTTGTGACAGGATATTGGTTTTCTTGTAGATGAATTTCTTGATTGATGAGGGGATTATATCTTTCTCCAAATTATGGATTAGAATAAAATGCCGGTGTTTTGCCAGAGCCAAACCATCTTGTGGCCCTATATCTTCATCTTGACTTGTCCACTGTTCATAATTGTTAATCCTCCATGAATCTGCCAGGACAAAGCAGAAACAACATACAAAGGATTGAAATAAAAATAAACAATAAAATATAAATTATTAGAAAGAGTGACCTCACTAAATTAAGTATTTCAATTGAGGAGGGATGAATCACTGTATAGTATATATTGTGAATACACCTACTCTGCAATGCATAAACATAAACTTCTTGATAAATATTACTCCTGCAATTTCATGAGCAGATTCATGTGCAAATAAATGGCACATGACATTCAAAAGGGTAAACTCTTACTTTGACGCATCAGAATCTTGCTTGTCATGCTAGTCTCCGTCCCCTACAAACCATGTTATACTATTTAAACCAAACTACAAGACAACATAATAGATGACATTACAATTACGAACACATGTCCTACCATGAGTGTTCCTAGACGGTTCAATAGTCATAGAACTATTGCTTTTATCAGATGATGACCCTTTGGATCCTGGCCCAAAACTACGAAGACCAGATATAGACTTGGAAGAACGGACTTCCTCTTTGGCCAATATCAGAAAAGCAGAGATTCTAGGATCAATTTCAGAAAGAGGTTCTAAAGTGCATATGTTTGCGATGCTGGCAGAGGTTAAAGTACCACGGCCACGTCCATGCAGCCAGAAAAGCACAAACTTGCACAAACACTCCTCTTCTTCGCCAGCAAACGAATGGGTCCGGTGGTTCACCTAGCAAATACAGGATGAAACATCACAGAAATGAGATGGTGACTAAATCAGTTTGAGCCCTTCATTAAGATGTTAAGATAATCATTTCATATATTTTTTTTTTCTTTTTGCAAATACCCCGTCCTGGAGAACAAAGAAAAGGATCATTTTCTTTTTCCAAACATGAACATCTACATGAGGATATCCAGGTATGTAATGTTAATTATAACTGAAAGATATAAATGTTTCATTGAGGTGGATTCTAGCATCTTTCTACTAATATGATGCCAATCATCTCAAAATACAAATCTAAACACTCAAATGGCAATACCACCTTTAATCATATACAATATACAATATAACAACATAGAAATAGTCCACAATTAATTAGATGATGTGATTTGTTGTGTTATGCAACTGTAACTAAATATTATCAAATCGAGTTTCCGAAGTGAACATATGCTTATAAAACTTATACCATTATGATCTTTTGCACTGTCATCTCTTATTTCCTAGAAAAAGTCATTTAAAAAATCCTTATGGGAGAAACGGAATGCTTTAAAAACGTGATATTCTACGTCATTGCTCTTGCAATAGTTTCAAATCTGACATCATGCATCCAACTAGAAGCTACTATGTTTTGCTTAAAGAGGTAAACTCAGCATTCACATCTAAATATGAAATATGGCAAATGCCCTAAGGCTGCTTTCAAGCTTCACCAAGTAGTCATCGCCAGAGCCCTGCACTCATTTCTTTATGACTCATCAAAACGAAATATATGCTATACAAATTCACTGGAATATAGCATATTATTTTGGTATTGTTTCATTTTTCTACATTTTGCTTTATTTACCTTTAAAGTGAACCATAATACATAACTATAATTTGTAAAACTTTGGACATGGTTTCTAAGGGATACAATTTTATCCCACTCAATCGACTTTATTGAGGAAGATAGATTGCTTTGGTTCAGAGCTTCACACTGATTTTTTTTTATTTTTTTATCTATTGCAAGTCGAGTGATTCCAGCAATTTGGTTTTTTTTTTTTTTGCGGCAAGTAGGGAAAACAATTCTTGGAATTAAACAAAAATTAACAAAAAGGTCAAAGGTTTGATTAAAAAATTTTACATGTTGAATGTTCACTAAATTAACAAAAAGGCCAAAAGTTTGATTAGAAAATTTTACATGTTGAATGTTCACTAACCAACATCGTTCATAAAAAAAAAAAATGCTAATGTATGCATATGGTAAGAAACAATAACTTTATATGTCACTCACATGATGGAATTTGGTATTTGGACATCATATCCCACCAGCGTAAGGTATTGTATCATTGTATGGTGAGGTGCAAAAGCCATCACATTGATGTTAAGCAGCAAAAAGCAGTTAAAGTAGATGCTATGGATTTGAAAAACATTGCTACAGAGACATCAGATGAATTAGCAAGATGTATCTAAAAAACATGATTAATAGCAATAGTAGACAAGACATGTGCATGTATTTATGCATCAACTGGAGGATAGCGATTCCTGTAAGAAGTCAATTGGCTCACTCACTGCTTCAATAACTGCATCGTAAAACCTGAGATCTTGTTGGGTGGTGCCATGAGAAGCGCACACAGTGGTCCCGACCTCGAGCTGACGGCACTGAGTATCCTGAACCTGCCGGGAAACGGGTCGGAAACGTGTGGCTAGCTCCTCCACTTCCAGCTCCGTCTTGAAACCCCCCGCAGAGAAGGTCACTTGATACACCTCCGGGGAGCACGAGTACTTCACGGTAAGGGTCTGGGCCACCGTGTCCAACGCAACCGAGACACTGTACCAGGCATCGTCTTCCGCTGCTTTGAATTCCAAGTCGTACGAGTCCTCTCCGCCTTTCTTCTCACTCATCTCATCCGATACTCACAAATCAGAACCGGCGATCCGCGTCTGGTTTGCCGGTTTGTCGGGCAACAGAAAAAATGCTGAACACAATCTTCCAGATCCGTATCTCTTCGCGAGCAGATAAAAGCAAAAGATAAAGCTTTTTAATTTGGGAGAGCTCTGTTTTCTTTTTTATTGGTTGATCCAAATTTTGCAACCAATTCCAACTCAATCATTAAATCTGGATACTAGCACTTGCTAAATGAGGCGGAATAAACTGGTGGGGTAAAGTTTTGTGAGATAGACTTCAAGAATGGCAGCCATGGAGTTCAACTATAGGAGGGGGGCGGCGATTGATAGGATTAAGGGCGAAAAACAAAAATTTTGACCCTTTAAACTAGAATGCTTAAGAGCATCTCCAACCGTGAACATGAATTGTAATGTATCTGACAATTAAATAGATGAACTTCCATCCAGGTGGAACAAATAGAGGTTCAAGTCCATAAAAATTCTCCAATGGTTTATTTCTATCTCCACATAATTCATTTATTTTGTTTGTAAATAAGAGAAAAAAATAACTCATTAAGTCTAGAAGGACTTCTACATGTAGAAGGACTTCTAGAATTATTGGTTATCTTTCGTGCCACATCATCACTAATAGAAATAAAAAAATCATGATTGGAGAAGTTTTTTTATTGCATGTCTTCTACAATCCTACAATTCACACACCGTTGGAGATGCTCTTAAGAGCAATTCTCTTTCCTCACTTTGCGCTATAATAGTGCTACACAATGCCCCCAACGCAGTTCTATATTTTTACTCTATATTACATAAATGAACAATGTATTTCAATATGTGGAGATACACTGTAGCAACTCTATAATTTTTTTTTGTTATATGTAATTTAGTTACAAATTTTTATTAATTTTAGTTATAGTTTTATTAATATTTTATGTAATTTAGTTACATTTTTTATGTGATTCATGTTTATATGTAATTTAGTTACATTTTTTTATTAACTTTATGTATTTAAATATTTTTTATTATTTTATAAAAACATGAAATAAAAATTACCATAAAACCGGTTGGTTCCATTAAAATTAAAAGTACAACACACAACAACCATAAAATACATAATCCAAAATAAAACATGACTTAAATTCAAATGACATAAAAAATTAGAACACACACATGGACTTCTAATAAAATTTCTAATCTAATAATCTCCCAAATCACTTCCAGATCCACCAAGATGTTGAAAGAATTCGCTGTAAACACCATAAGTGTTATTGGTTTCGGGCGAATGCGATGATTGTTCTTCTCTTTTTTTTCAAATTTTTTTCTTGTTCTTTTTAAAATATTCACGTCTGCGATCATCTTGTATAGAATCCACATCCATCATTAAAATCTTATTTTCCTCTGTCCATCTGGTGGTCTCAACAAATTGTCTTCGCAATTAATTTTTTTGCTTTTGGATTTCAAGTTTTTGTCTTATCAAGTCCCTATCGTGATCCCTCTTTACCGCCGAATTCATTATAATCTCTCGAAATTTTTCATTTTCATCTTTCATAGTTTTTATAACAACAGACACATCTTCTCCATGTTTTCTCTTTTATTTTGATTTTTTAATACATGTCGGTCATTGTGAAGATGAGCCACCACTAGCATTTTCATCACTTAAATTGATAGAAAAATTAGATAGTCCTAGATTGGGTGAAATAGGGGATTCTGGTTGCACATCTGCTTGCGTTTGAGACGAAATTGAGTTATGCCTCTGTGATGTGCACTCGAACAATGCATAATCTTTCATAATTGACCACACATGATCGTACTTGAATGATTGTTTTTTATTATTTTTTGGGTTCTGCATATATAGTATATTCGCGCGCTCCATCTATAATATAACAATAAAACACATTCTAAGCTATTATTATTGTTAAATGCAAAATTAAATTATATGAAGAAATATTTTCTTACCACATCATGTTCAGAAGCTCCACTAATGTTTGCGTTTTCAATTTGTTGCACGCAGGATTTGAACAATTTAATACCGACATTGATATTACCCATGCGACATTGGATCGATTTTTGTGGACGATCTGGCCACATTGGATTTGGCTTTGTAGAATTATATTCATTTGTTAAACGAAGCCAAAACTTGTCTCTACTTTGATATATACCCACCTCTGGATCTTGAGAAATTTTCATGTAGGACCGACAAAGGTGTTGATCTTCACTTATAGTATAGTTGGTTCCCATATGAGAGATGACTCTAAAAACTCGGATGAAAAATAAATAAATAATAATTGGTTGTATGGTGTAGTAATTGTAAGATTTGTCCAATGTAGTGTAGTGTATTTATAGGATGGAAAAAATATTGTTTGGTTTTTTAGATAAGAATCCTACGGTTCAGAATCATGATAACAAAATATGGTTTTGCGGTTCAGATTTAATGTTTAAGATTTTCTGCCACATAATAGATAAGGTTCATCCACCATACATTATGCTAAAATGTTTCCCGTGAGGCAAGTTGTCACAATAATTCATTCATTCATTTTTGTTTTGTAGTGATTTTTTAATTATTATTTTAAAGTGATAATAAGATAAGAAGTGAACGGAAAAGATTTTATGGAAATCTCATCCTACGGTCAAAAAATTTGATACTTGATTTCTTTTTAACTATTTTTACCATGTATGCTTAACAATATTTTCATACTTAAACTTTTCCATTTTTTGAGAAAATATGAATTCCGATCATATTGGTTGTTCTTTTGCATTTTCTTCTTTAAGTTCATCTGATGATGAGCTTGAGCAGTTATTGAATAGCTACGGTGTAGAACAAGAATTGATATCTCATCAAATTTATAATAATAATATTCTAGTACAAGAATTTCTCAGTACTCAACAACTTAGCCAGAGTCATGGAGGTTCAGTTCTTGGTCGTAAAACAATTTTTCGCGATCGAGAAGCGGCCGCATATCGTCTTTTTAATGATTATTTTTCTGAAAATCCAAAATTTAATGAATCCATGTTTCGTAGGCGTTTTTGAATGTCTAGAAATTTATTTTTCCATATTACAAATGCAGTAAAAAATCATGATAATTATTTTCTGCAACAAAAAGATGCAGTAGGAAAACTCGGGTTGTCTACATTTCAAAAGTTAACTGCTGCTCTTCGAATATTGGCATATGCAGTACCAGCAGACGCGACAGACGAGTACATAAACATTGGGGAGTCCACTACAGTTGAGTGCATGAGAAATTTTGCCGTGCTATTGTGGAGGTATTTGGCGAGCAATATTTAAGATCTCCTAACGCTAGTGATGTTGCAAGACTCCTTTATATTGGTAAGAAACGTAGATTTCCCGGAATGTTAGGTAGTCTGGATTGTATGCATTGGCGTTAGAAAAATTGTCCAACAGCTTGGGCAGGTGCATATACAGGACGCAGTAAGTGTCCAACTATTATCTTAGAAATTGTAGCCGATTATGATCTTTGGATATGGCATGCATACTTTGGTATACCTGGATCAAACAATGACATTAATGTGCTAGAGAGGTCGCATTTGTTTTCTGACCTTACTCAAGGAATTGCCCCTCCAGCACATTATGTCATCCAAGGGAAAGAGTATAATATGGGATATTATTTAGCTGATTATATATATCCAAAATGGTCAACTCTTGTCCAAACTATTCGTGATCCACGTAGCCCAAAGAAAAAAATACTTTGCAATGAAACGAGAAGCGTGCAGAAATGATGTAGAACGTGCATTTGGTGTACTCCAGAGTCGATTTGCAATTGTGGCTAATCCTGTTCGATTTTTGAGCAAAAGTGATTTACAAGATATCATGACTGCATGTATTATTATGCACAATATGATAATTGAGGATGAACGAGACCTTGATGCGGCGATTGAAAGTGTTAGGGAAGCCTCGATTCCAGACGTTGAGTCAGTTGACACTGATCAATCTCAATTCCAGGCATTTGCTGCTCGATACAGACAAATTAGAGATAAAGAAGCTCATATAGCCCTTCGTGATGCCTTGATTGATCACTTATAGGAGGATTTTTCTAATTCAGAAAAGTAGACATGTTGTTATTGTAATCAATAAAAAAATATTGTTGTCATGTTGTTTTCTTATGCTTATATCATTATGTAATCAATATTTTTTATTTTTTATTTTTGTCATGTTGTTTTTTTATGCTTATATCATTATGTAATCATATTTCAAGTATTTAAATTTATGCAATTCATGTTGTTATATGTATTTTATAATTTAATAAAAAAATTATTAATAATTCTACATATATGTTTAAATTAATTTAAAACAAAGAATAATATAATAAAAAAAATATGTAGAGTAAAATGTGGAGTGAAGGGTTGGAGG